CATCGGTAACAATAATGGTAGTGGTGGTAGTAGTGGAGGTAGTGGAGTCAGCAGAGTCAGCAAAATCAGCAAAATCAGCAGCAGAAGTAGTGGGTTCGTCGTGGTCAAGGTCGTCAAATTGGTCGTGTTGAGGTGGTACAGTTGCATTCTCCCCTTCACCTCGAGCACGGGGAACAACTTTGACGTGGATGGTCTCGATGATAGTGTTGGTGTCAGGGCAGTAGACCTTGTGAGAGAGTGAAGTCGGCGAAAAGCCCACATAAATACCGTGGCGGGCCTTGGGACCGAGCTTGCCACCACGGCGCAGCGGGTCAAAGGCAAAAGCGTCGGCGCCAAAGGGGTGCAAGTCGCGGATGTCGTGGGGCTTGATGCCGGTGAGGAGCTCATAGGCACAATAGCCATTGAGGTGCTCCTTGGGGCGGATGTTGATGAGGTACTCGGCGTGCTTGGCAGCAAGGGCCCAAAAGGACGGGTCACGGCCCGAGTCATGAAGGAGCAGGGCCATGGTATCTCGAAGTTCGCGGAAGACGGTTTCGATGGCGCCGTTCATTTCGGGAGTGTATGGTGGCGAGTGACGCCATACACAGTTGAAGTGGCGCAGCTGTTCGCGAAAGGCCAAGGAGTGGTAGGGCCCGTCATTGTCGCTCTGGATGATGGTGCGCTTCTGCATGTCGGCGTCATCAATGCGAATGGGGATGGGCGAGTCGCGAATCAGGCGAGCAAAGCTCTCAGCCAGATCGTCCTTGCGACAGACAGGGTCGAGCCAGAGAAAGCCCGTCGCCACATCTCGATAGGCAATGATGTACCTCGCTCCTTTGATACTAGGGGAGCGAAGCGGGCCAAACATGTCAGAAGCGACCAGTTCACCAGGCATGCGGGGCGTGCGATCGCGATCAAAGCCAGCCAGAGCAAGGCGCTTAGCTTTGAAGAGGTTGCAATCGTTGCAGTTGAGGATGGCCTTGACGTCCGAGGTGTCTTCAACTTGCTGCAGCATGGAGCGCAAAACCTCGCGCGGCGGGTGGCCAAGAAGACGATGCATCTGCGAAGCAGACACAACATGGGCATGCTGTTGTTGCTGGTGGTGGTGCTGGTGGTGCAGGTGGTGAGCTGGGAGAAAAGAAAAGAAAAACAAGCCACCACTAGCCGCATCACGTGGTGCAGACCAAGTGACATCAGCATCACTCAACAAAAATGTAGACGAGTCAGACAAGGACACGACAAAACCAGCATCAACAAGAGCAGAAAGCGAGACAATGTTGTGGGAAAAAGAAGGCACATAAAAGCAACGATCAAGAACAATGGGGCGCAAGACACCATCAACATCAGTCACGAGCAAAGACACGGCGCCGACGGCCTCAGCAGCCGTTACGCCGTTAGCAGTCACAATGGTCTCAG